ATGAGTTCCAGGACAGCCAGGATTGTTACACAGAGAAACCCTGTCTCCAAATAAAACAAACAAACAAAACAAAACAAAAAAAGGAAAGAAATTCCACCACATTGCAGTCACTTCTGTTCACCACTGCCAAGTTTAAGAAAATAGGAGCAAGCTGGTGATGGTGGTGCATGCCTTTAATCCCAGCATTCAAGGAGGCAGGGGCAAGCCCATTTCTGTGAGTTTGAACTAGCCTAGTCTACAAAGCCAGTTCCAGAACATCCAGGACTGTTAAACACGAGAAACCGAGGGGAGGGGAGGGAAACAAACAAGCGAAAAACAACCTTAAAAAACGATATTCCTACTTGAGAATAGGAATAAAAAAACTGGCTTCCAAGAGGTAAACAAAACTGTAGTGTAGCTAAAAAGATCAAGTTAGACACAGTTCCCATCCCAAAATTATTACTTTCAAGAATGCAGGCAGTTACTCAGTTGTTAAAAGTGTCTACCTTGCATCAAGTCTGGGGAGATGAAATGGAGGCTCGTACATGGTGCCTACTATTAGTGAAAGACCCCCGAAGAGGTACTTTCGTAGAAGGAGACCCGCACCCAGGAATCAGCGAGACCACGGACTTGGATGCAAAACTGCAAGAGGTTTTATTAGAGATGCGGGTACCCGGGGCGACTTAGCTTCTGTGAGGCCAAGCACGCCGAGCCAAGGGAAAGGGGTCCTTATATAGGGAAAAAGGCGCAAGCTAGGAGCAGGGATTCTATTGGATAATTCTAATGAGGCATTGTACAGAGCTATTCCCATTGGTCAATGTATATGAGGCGCTATACAGGGTTATTCAAATGAGGTGAAACACAGAGTCTTTCAAATGAGGCGAAATACAGAATCATTTCTATTGGATGGTTCAAATGAGACACAGAGCCATTCCAGATCAGCATATTCTCAAGGTCTGGTGTCTGGTACAACAGACTCAATTCCCCCTCCCTCCGCGTCCAGATGGCTGACCTTGGGGGCGGAGACCTTGGGACGACAAACTTAAGAAAGAAAGGGCTAAGGGGCAGGGGTCTTTCATTAGCAGTGAATTACGATTGGTTTTACTAACCCTCAGTACTTTTCTCATCTGAATAACTTCAGTTGTTTTGTTTTTTCACTCTTTGGGGAGCCTGCCACTCTACTCCCAAATAAATACATGGAGACTTATTACACCTGGCCTTAGATAGGCTGATTTCTAATCAGCTTTTCCAACTTTAAATTATCCTGATCTCTTTAACTATGTTTTGCCTCTGAGCTTTTTACCTTTCTTTATTCTATATGTCTTTCTTTCCTTCTTACTCCATGGCTAGCTGTGGCTGGCCCCTGGCGTCCTCCTCTCCTTTTCCTTTTCTCAATCCTCACTCCTCTCTCTTCCCTCAAGCCTAGATTTCTCCTTCTATTTCTTCTCTCTGCTTGCTAGCCCTGTCTATTTCCCTCTCCTGCCTAACTATTGGCCATTCAGCTCTTTATTAGACCAATCAAGTGTTTTACACAGGCAGAGGAACACAGCTTTACACAGTAAAACAAATACAGCATAAAAGAATGCAACACATCCTTGCATCATTAAATAAGCAGCATAAACAAATGTAACACATCTTAAACTAATATTCCATAACACACAACAGATCCAGGTCTATTATGCTGAATTCTGAAGGTCTTAGTGAAGACATGCTGGGGAGGGAAGAAGTGAAGGTACAGAAAGAAAAGGCTTATATGCAAATAAACCTAGTAAAATGGCCCACGGTGAAGATTCCCAGCATCTTGAAAGTCTTAGGACTTGAGGATTTTGCTTGCAGATCCTGAAATAGCCCCCCGAATAAATGACTACACAATGACTAGAATTCTTTTTAAATTTTTATTTATCATTTTGGAAAAAGGAAAAAAAGGGAAAGTCAGAAAAGGGCCAAAAGCAGCCACTGTTTTCTACTGTGTCCCTCCATCTCAGTGGGGCCTAAGCCACTGCTCAGAACCTGGAGCAGGGATCCCAGGGTAAAGCAGCAACAGATGTCTACAAACACTGTGTGGTGACAGTGGCTCAGAGGATTTACAGTCATAGCTCTGCATGATGGACTTCTGCCTTCAACAACTCACTGGGCTTCATAAAGATGCCTTCCATGGCCTTCCAATAGTTGTTCTGACTTGGCTGGGCCATACCATGTACCTCTTTTTGTCCACTTATAGGTCGACCATATTGTTCTCCTGTGACAGACAGGAGTACTTCAGTGGAAGAATGTTTGAATCTCACTTCACCATCTCTCACCCAGTAAGGGCCATTACAGAGCACTGTCCAGTCATCCAAATAGTCGCCTTCACCTTCCTCCCCAAAGGCACTCACCTCCTGAGAAACAAAGTGGCAATGTTAACATATTGTCAGGTCTGAAAAGTGGAGGACAGGAGCTCAGAATGGTAGAGCACACCTACAGTTCTAACATTTGGGAAGTGGAGATAGGAGGGTCATGGTCAAGACCATCCAGCTACATAGGCAGTATGAGGGGAGCCTACATCACAAGAGACACTGTCTCCAAATAAATAAGGAGTCAATAAGAAGAAAAGTAAAATTATCCCCCCCCAAAAAAACTGGAACTTTCTGTTGTTTTGCACAAATTTGGGGTTTTTGTTTGTTTGTTTGTTTAATTGTTGTTGCTGTTGGATTTCAGTTTTTTGAGACAGGGCTGCTCTGTGTAGCCCTGGCTGTCCTGGAACTTGCTTTGTAGACCAGGTTAGCCTCAAACTCAGAAATCGAACTGCCTCTGCCTTCCACGTGTTGGGATTAAAGGCATGTATCACCATTTCTTGCTAGTTGAAGAAATTTTAAAATGAAATAAACTATGGAAAGATAAAAAGACACAAAGAACACAAGAGAAAACTAGTCTTAGATTATGACTCAAAACACTAATTTTTAAATTAATATTATACCTGCCATGTGTTTTATTCTTAAGTTTTTTTTTTCCTGTTTGCCTTTTAAATACCACTTATGTGTGGGTACACACATGCTATGGCATGCATTTGGAGGCCACATGACGACTTAAGAGCTGGCTCTCCTTTCACAAGGTAGGTAGGTACAAGATCAAACTCAGGTCATCAAGTGCCTTTACCAACTAAGCCATCTTGCTGGTGCTCATTAATTTTTTTTTTTTTTTTAAGTTTTTAGAGATAGGGTTTCTCTGTATAACATCTCTGGCTATCCTGGAACTTATTTGTAGACTCGGCTGGCTTGAACTTACAGAGATCCACATGACTCTGCCTCCTGAGCACTAGGATTAAAGGCAAGTGCCACCAATGCTCAGCGGCTTAATTTCTTGAGTTAAAGACAGGGTGTTGCTTATTGCCCAAGATGGCTATGAGCCCATGTGGACTCAAGTAATCTTCCTTTTAAGCAACTGAGACTCTGGGTGCACACTGCTGTATATGGTCTTCTAAACAAACTCTTTACTATTTATCTTAACTTTATTCTAAATTGTGGGGAAGGGACAGCATAAACATACACTTCTTTGTTCTGTCAGGTGAGGACATAAAAGAAGTCCCAGCAGCACACGCTTGTGAAGAGCCTAGATCTTGGTTCTAATGCTATTTTCTAGTAAACAGAAGCAGGTTCACTAGGGAAACAGAGGATTTCAGAAGTGAGGCAAGAAATACACTAGATGAACCTTGAGCATCTTTTAGTACCAGAAAATAAGCAAGTGCTTTAAAATGCATGCATGTATGTGCACACACGTGATTGGATTCCATCAAATGGATAGACATGTAAGTCAGCTGAAAGAATTGCCAAAGGCAAAAGCTGAATAATTTGAACAATAAAATGAAGACAGTTAATATTGGGATGATGGGGGATGTCTTTCTGTATATATGTTTCTCTTATTGGTTGATAAATAAAACACTGTTTGCACAATATTGGCAGAAAGATAGGCGGGACTAGGAGATGAGAATTCTGGGAAAGGTAGTCAGAGGGAGACAAGGAGTAACAGGTCCGGACCCTTCTTTTTGGTAAGATAAAACCACATGGAAATACTTAGATTAATAGAAATAGGTTAATAATTAATACAGAGCTAGTTAGTAAGGAGTCCTAGCCATTGGCCAACATCTTAATAATTAATATAGCGTTTCTGTGTGTTTATTTGGGGCAAGGCAGCTGCAGGACCTGGCAGGACAAGAAAACCTCTGCAACACTGGGTTATAATTCAAATTACAAAATATATATGAGCTCATACTGGTATAAATGAATAAATGAATTGAGAAAAGACATACCCAACCCAATCCAAATAATTTATGTAGCTATTTCAGCCAAATGTCAAGGAATATAATCTCCTAACTACCAAAGTGTGGACTGGACACAGAGATTTCATAGAGGACAAAATGAAAAGCATGACTTTACAAAAGAAACCCAGTGAAACCAAGCGAGCAAGGTTAAATTTACTGTCATAAGTCATGTTGACAGAATGCACCCTTGATAGGATGTGATAAAAATAGTATTTTACGGGCTGGAGAGATTGCCCAGCGGTTAAGAGCTCCGACTGCTCTTCCAGAGGTCCTGAGTTCAATTCCCAGCAACCACAGGGTGGTTCATAACCATCCGTTATGAGATCTGGTGCCCTCTTCTGGTGTGCAGATATACATGGAAGCAGAATGTTGTATACATAATAAATAAATAAAATCTTTAAAAAAAAAATGGTATTTTACCCTATGGTCTTCCTCACAGCTTTCATCGTAAGAAAAACATTAGACTCCAAAGGTGGGTTATTCTTCAAGATTGTCAAAGTCAGTGAAAACAAGGAAAATCTTAAAAACTACAACAGCTAGAGGAGTCTAATGAGTCATGGCAACTAAAAGTATATCCTGTAACAGAAAAAGGACATTAGGATAAACAAAAGAAATGGGGGCTGCAGAGACAGCTCAGCAAATAAGGGCACTAGGTGCAGTCTGAGAGGATCCAGGTTGGATTCCCAGCACTCTCACAGAAGCTCACAACCATCTGTAACAGCAGTTCTGGGGGACTCTGCCCTTTTCTGACCTCTGAAGGCACTAGGTAGGCATATGAGGCACATACATACACCCAAGCAAAACACTCATACACATAAATCTCATAACAAAAAACTAAAACAAGAATACCCTGTGGGGGGTTTGGGGGCTGGAAAGATGGCTCATCAATTAAGAACACTGGCTGTTCATCCAAAAGACCCAGGTTCAATTCCCAGCACCCACATGGCAGCTCAAAACTGTAACCCCAGTTCCAGGAGACATGTAATCCTCACAGACATACATGTAGGTGTAACACCAATGCATATAAAATAAAATTAAATAAAATTATTTAAAATAAAGACTACCCAATGGACTTTAGTTAGGAATAATGTTGTCAACATTGCTATGTTAACTGTAGCACATTTGCTTCACTAATATGGCAGATGAGGTTTTAAAAAGTAGCAAAGAGATGGAGCTTAAGAGATAGCTTGGCAGCCGGGTGGTGGTGACACACACCTTTAGTCCCAGCACTCTGGAGGCAGAGGCAGGCGGATCTCTGAGTTTGAAACCAGCCTGGTCTACAGAGTGAGTTCCAGGACAGTCTCCAAAGCCACAGAGAAACCCTGTCTCGAAAAACAAAAACAAACAAAAAGAGATATCTTGGCACACTTATGAGATAGTCATTTCTCCAAGTCTGCAGAAAAGAGAACATTCATACCTACAAAGAAAAGGGTTAATGTGCTCATTTTAGTAGCACATACATTAAAATTGGAATAATACAGAGATTGTAATGCATGGTCCCTGCTCAAGGAGGACACACAAATTTGTGAAATGTCCCATTTTTCGGAAGTGTCAGAGTACACCATATAGCATGGGTTGGTTGAAGAAAGAAGGCATTCCAAGGTGAAATTTTAAGGCCTAAATGGCAGCAGGAAAAGTCTAGCCTCTCTGAGGTACTGAACCAAGAACAGCCGTACAAAATCTTACTTATTGATTGTTCCTCATACCAAGGTCTAATTTACATGTCTTACTAAAGGAGAGCATCACATGCCCCCATGACTCTAATCCTTTATTACGTATCGCCTGCAATACATAATAATAGAAGAGCCTCAGATGTGCCTGAGGTATCTTGTGACCAAAGTCCTGGGATGGCTACAATGCCCTTTCAGCAAAACAATCACTGTTTTCCACAAGGATTCTTCAAGGTCAAAATAGTACTTCTTCCTCTTTTTTTTTTCTTTTTGGTTTTTCGAGACAGGGTTTCTCTGTCTCGAACAGCCCTAGCTGCCCTGGAACTAGCTCTGTAGACCCGGCTGACCTCAAACTCAGAGATCCACCTGTCTTTGCTTGCCAAAGTACTTCTAACAAATAGCTGTTCATTCTAATATTTATCCGGGATACAATGAGTCTGCTAAATTCCTATGGAAGGGAGGGGGCAGGGAAGGAGGAATAGAGGGAGGGAGGGAGGGAGGGAGGGAGGGAGGGAGGGAGGAAGGAAGGAAGGAAGGAAGGAAGGAAGGAAGGAAGGAAGGAACCAAGAGATCAAACAAGTCAACTGAGCAAGGCAGAGCAGGTGTGATGGCTATTCTTGGTTGTCTGGAATGAACTATAATCTAGAAGTGGAGGGAACACTTGTGACCCAGATCTTTATCTGGGCCCCACCTGCTAGAAATGTATGTCAGGACAATGGTAGAAGGAAGGGTTTGTTCTTTACCTGCTTGGCCTCACCTTGTCAGCACCTCCATTCCTTCTTCAGTGTCCTAGCAGACCAGCTGGGGCACCAGCCTCATGGGACTGAGAAGCTACTAGATTCTTGGAGTTTCCATTCATAACTAGCCATTCTTGGACTGCAGCCTGTAAGTCACTCCAATAACCCCCCCACACACACCCACACAAATACACACACACATATATAAACATATATATGTATATACAAACACACACACATATATATGTATATACAAACACACAAACACACACACACACACACAAACACACACACAGATTCATTCTGGATATTCTCTGACTCTGGAGAACCCTGACCAATACTGCAGGGATGATACATTTCATTCCCCCTCACCTGGTTTCCAGAAAGAGGTGAAGTGAAATGGTGGCTGTGGAGGTTTCGACCAGTATTGATGTGTGTCAGTCGGATGGGCTGGCCACACTTGATGGGGGTTCCCCTTTCACACACTGTGGCAGTCTTCCCCCGTATTCTCCAATAACTGTTGCTGTCATCCACAGAGGTTACACCTGTCACTGACTGCTGCCCACTACCTGCAGGTCGCTCTGTAAGTAAGGCTTTTCCCTATTAAATACCCTTATATTTCTACCTCAGCAGTTTGGAGTGGTTCTGAAGAGCCATTTTCAATATGATGGCAGCAAGCAAGAACTCATCCATGGTTGGTAAAGCTTCTACAAACTTTACATTGTTTTTTGTTGTTGTTGTTGTTCTGTTTTTATTAAATGTACACCTGCAGGCCAGAAGAGGGCACCAGGGCTCATTATAGATGGTTGCTGGGAATTGAACTCGGGACTTCTGCAAGAGCAGTCAATGCTCTTAACCTCTGAGCCATCTCTCCAGACCTGTTTACATTGTTTTTAAGAACACCTGTATCACACCTTCATTTATATCCTCCCTAGATATTAAAGATCTTGAAATTTCACTCTTTTTTTTTTTTTTTTGGTTTTTCAAGACAGGGTTTCTCTGTGTAGCTTTGGAGCCTATCCTGGCACTCGCTCTGGAGACCAGGCTGGCCTTGAACTCACAGAGATCCGCCTGCCTCTGCCTCCTGAGTGCTGGGATTAAAGGCGTGTGCCACCAACGCCTGGCGAAATTTCACCTTGTCTCAAAAAAAAAACCAACCAACCAACCACAAAAACAAAACAAAACAAAACAAAACCAGTAGCTACTGTTTTAAGAGCAGTCATGACTATAGGTAAGAAGAACACTATGCTGTAGTATGTTGACTATAGAATGAGACATGTCCTGTGAGATGGCCATTTGCTGAATTTTCATTGCACCTTTAAGGCCTAGGACAAGCTATGAATTTAATCTTCTGTGACTGTGATGAGTTCAGCAACGAGACAGGATGCTAAACAGGCAGAGTATGAAGAAAAACAGTTTTAGATCTGGTGGTGGTGTGTGTGGAGAACTTGGTATTCATGATTATGAAAACTACTGTCTAAAGACACTGGTAGTGCTTGGAAGCCACTTGCTCCTTCTGTTGGAGGTGCTGGGATTGGGAGAACAGTTAGCAGAGGAATTCACCAGCTAAAGTTGCTCAATCCCCAGAAGGACCTGTCCAAGTAGCTGCAGGTCCGTCCCAGTAGGTAATGACACGACAGAGAAGAGAGACTGTAGCAGCTGCTGCTGTGACTGCCAAAACTGCTTGAGCTCCCACTAAGTTCCAAGATGGGGACCCCACCACCAAGAAGTACGGTTCCTTAGACAGTCTGAGACCTCCTATGGGCCCACCAGTTAGCCTTCCCCTGATCAAGGGGCACCTACAATAAACATGCTCTCTTTAGGAATGAGACCCTATTCCTCAGGAATGTGTCCACCAACACCCTAGGATATTATTGGCAAATACCAGACTTTCTTGTGAAACTGAATAGCCTGTGAGCTTTCTGTCCCCTGCTGTACTAATTATAGCTAATATTAAATACATAGACCAATTAAATTGATTAAAAAAAAAAAAAGCAAGAGAGTTCAACCTAAACCCTTCTTCTTCCAGGTCCAAGGATGTGCCCTGTCACAAAAGTGGTATGGTATGGAGGAAATACTATGTTGGTAAAATTTTACTTACGCAACCACAATGTTAAAATGTAAAACGTGCTAAATGTTTTCATATACTGCAGATGAGATACATATTAAAATGTGTGAAAAAGCCAGTGAGATACAGGTAAAGGCACCTCCTGCCTAACCCTGACAGCCCAAGTTCATCCCCAGAACCCACATAGTAGAAAGAGAACTGACTCCAGCAAGTTGTTCTCTGGCTACCAGATGCATTCAATGACACAAACACATCCTCCCCCACACAAAATAAACATGAAAAGGATTGGTTTTAACATGTCACATCAGAAAATTCCATGGGAGTAGGTTAGCAAGATGGCTCATCAGGTAAAGACATGCCAGCAGGCCTGGTTACCTACGTGCCATCTTCAGAACCCACATAAAAAAGCTGGGCATTGTGGCTCACACTTGTAATCTCAAGACTGGAAAGGGGGAGAAAGCCAACCTTGAGCCACCTGACCTGCCAGCATAGACAAATTGGTGAGCCCCAGGTTCCTATGAGAGATCATGCCCCAAAATAACAAAGTGAGTGCCAGGGAGATGGCTCAGTGGGTAAAGGCACAAGTCACACAAGCCTGACAACATCAATTTCCAGAATGCAGGTAGAAAGTGTAAAGGGGGTGGGGAGAGACAGTTACAAGAGTACTGCTCTTCCAGAGGGCTGGAGTTCAGTCCCCAGCACCTATATAGAGCATTCATAACTACCCATTAACTCTCACTCTAGGGGACCCAGAACTTCTAGCCTCATAGGCAACTGTACTCATGAGCACTTGCACACACATACACTTTTTCTTCTTTTGAGATAGGTTCTCTCTATGTAGTTATGGCTGTTCTGCAGTTCCAGGGTGGCCTGGAACTCAGAGATCTGCCTGCCAATACCTCCTGAGTGCTTGAAGTAAAGGTCTGTATCACCACACCCAGCACACACATAAATCAAAAATAATAAAAATACTATTTAAAAACAAATACAGCCAGGCAGTGGTGGCACATGCCTTTAATCCCCGAACTTGGGAGGCAGAGGCAGCCTGGTCTACAAGAGCTAGTTCCAAGACAGCCTCCAAAGCCACAGAGAAACCCTGTCTCCAACGCTCCCTCCCCACAAAAAAACAAATATAAAAGGGGCCAATGACTTGACTCAGTGATTAAAGGTACTCGATGTCATGCCTGATGGCTTGAGTTTAATCCTGAGGATCCACAGTAGGAGAGAACCAGCCCCCCCACACTCCCCCCCCCAATACACACACACACACCCTGAATGCCTCAAATTGTCCTCTGGAAAGTTCTATGTCAGTCCTGAGTGCCATCTCTCTCCAAAATTGAAACTAAATAAAATATTCTTTGATCATATAAATTTGTACATGTTAAAAATACTGAGTGAGGGGTGGAGAGATGGCTCAGAGGTTAAGAACACTGACTGCTCTTCCAGAGGTCCTGAGTTCAATTCCCAGCAACCGCATGGTGGCTCACAACCACTCATTATGAGATCTGGTGCCCTCTTCTGGTGTGCATATATACATGGAAGCAGAATGTTGTATACATAATAAATAAATAAATAAAATCTTTGAAAAAAAATACTGAGTGAAATATTTAACTGTAGTTTTGTTTTTTGAGACAGGTTCTCTATGAAGTTCTGGCTGTCCGGTAGCTCACTTTGTAGACCAGACTGGCCTCACAGAGATCCACCTGCCTCTGCCTCCACAGTGCTGCGATTAAAGGTGTGTGCCACTGTCTGGCATTTAGCTGTAAGCGTTAAAGAAAAATGTACTATCACTTACCAAATTCTTTGCCTGAGTAATTTGGATTTTTTGTTTGTTTTTCAAGACAGGGTTTCTCCGTATAACCCTGGCTGCCCTAAAAGTCACTCTGTAGACCAGGCTGGCCTTGAACTAAGTCACTCTGTAGACCAGGCTGGCCTTGAACTCCACCAGCCTCCCATGTGCTGGGATTAAAGGTGTGCACCACTACCACCTTGCCCCTAATTTGGATTTTTGTTTGTGTGTTTGAGACAGGGTCTCACTATGTAGCACTGGCTGGTCTAAAATTCACTAGGTAGACCAAGCTGTCCTCAGAGAACTGCCTCTCTCTGCCTCCTGTATGACAGGATTAACAGCCTCCTACCCTGCTTGAATATTTGTTCTCACATAACTGATACCTTTTATTCTGAGACAGGTACTATTACTGTCCCAGCTTTACACTGGAGTGTTAAGAAGGGTGAGCAATGTACCCAAGGTCATGGAGCTATGACCAGTCTGGAGCTGAACTTAGGTAACCTGTTCTAGAATACTACTATTGCAACACATTGAGTCCCAGGGACATCTTTCTTCTCCAGTTCTATTTTCTGTCAAATTCTTCCAGTCTACTTATTCTCAAAAACTCCAGAGATACTTTTCTTCCTGGGTGGACTTTCCAGTGTCCTGCCTGACTTCAGGCTTTGGAGGATACTTCCAACAAAGTAACAAAGCCTCAGGCGTTTTACTAATTATCTGGTGAATGTAACAAACTATCAGCTCCTTTCCCCTAATCTATTCTACTACTCAACCCATGTCTTTGTTACATCTTTTATAGCCTTCCATTTTTTTAATTTTTATTTTAATTTTTGTGACAGGATCTGTCTACAGTGTGTATCCTTGGCAGGCCTGGAACTCCTATGTAGACCAGGCTGGTCTGAAACTCATAGAGATCCACCTGCCTCTGTGACTCCTGACTCAGTTCCCCTTCCCACTTCTTGTTAATGCCTTCCAGCTCACTCAGTCTTGATCTCTACCTCTAAAGAAACAATTTTTATTAGATTTATTCATTTTACTTTTTGTGTATTTTGCCTGCATGTATGTCTGTGCATGCTTGTGCACACAGAGGTCAGAAGAGGGAGTCAGATCCCTTGGAATTAGAGTTAGTTTAACCATGTGAATGCTGGGAATTGAACCTGGATTCTTTCTAAGAGCCACAAGTACTCTTAACCACTGAGCCATCTCTCCAGCACTGTTCTCTACATTTTAATCATCTCTTTAATTTTTCATTTTCTTTTCAACTCTCTACTTCCTCGGGAGACCTCCTTATACCTTGGGAGTAGCCAGAATTCTATCTGGCCTTATTCTGTTCCTAAACACTTGGGTATCCAAATAAATTCAAGTAACATTTACTATAATTTTTCAGATTGAGAACCACATAGCTCATCCTGAGCAATCTGATCTATTCATGTATCTTCAACCACTATCTGGACAAGAATGTTGTATCTAGGCAGTAAAATGGTAAAGACTGGCACTCTCTCTCTCATTGGATAAATGTGATTAAAAAATTAAAGCCTTTAATCTCAGCACTCCAGAAGCAGATGAAGGAGGACCTCTGCAAGTTCATGGTCAGTCTGGTTTCCATATTAAGTTCCTGAGAGCAGGGCAGCCAGGGCTAGATAGACTCGTCTCAAAAAAAAAAAAAAAAAAAAAAAAAAGCTTTTAAAAAATATTGTATATAACTCTGTGTCACAGATTCCTCTCTTAAGGCTCAGACTGAACATTGTTTCAAAATCTGGCTACCCACAAGGACCACTGGTAGAGATTTGAAGTCTGCTAGACCTCTCTCTAATTACATTTTATTTTAGTAGATCCAAAACAGGAAACAGATTGAATTAAAATGTAGTAAGCCCGACATATAGCTAGGTATTTACTGAATAAGGTGGCTAGGACTACAAAGATATACCAATGCTGACTATACATCCCCATAAACTAAACTGGTCAGACAGGTTCTTAGAGTTGGGAACTACAGACTAAACCAGATGGGTTAGTTTCTCTTTTACATCTCACATTGAATCTCATAACTTTTATTACCCACCCCAATATGGGGACAGAACCTTTCCAATGCCTGGTAGATATTCTAACAATTAGCTAATTATAATCAGCCAGTCTTTGAACTTTTTAAAAAAGATTTATTTATATTATGTATATGCCTGCAGACCAGAAGAGAGCACCAGATCTCATTATAGATGGTTGTGGGCCACCATGTGGTTGGGGGAATTGAACTCAGAACCTCTGAAAAGCAACAGTGCTCTTAATCTCTGAGCCATCTCTCCAGCCCCCACCTTTGAAGTTCTTTTGTGTTGTTTTGAGATAGCTCTCACTATGTAGTCCAAGCTAATCTTGAAGCCACAATCCTCCCAATTCAGCCTTTTGAGTGCTATTTGTCTTGTTTTGTTGTTTAATCCACTACTGTATCTCCTGTCTAGAACAATAGTAGACACCAGAGAAGGAGCTCTTTACATCTATGCCGAATGAATGAACCCACAAATACTTAGCATTAATTGCATATGATAAAAAGCAGACTTTTCTCTACAATGTCTGCCAACGTTTAAGTTATTTAAGGAAGCTATTGCTAAATGAAAGAGTGCCAAAAGGTATGCGCTAATAAAACAAGTACAAGACAAAGGTTTGTAATAAGAGACTTGAAATCTAAAACCTCAGAGATTCAACATAAGTTGTCAATACGTCTCTCTCTCCAGCACAAAATAGTGGCAGCCCATGGAATCTGAGATTTTAAAACTGGATAGATTTGGATTAATCCCTGTCTCCATCATTCACTAGCTGTAAGCCTTTGAGCAGTATCTCTGAGTCTATTTCTTCACCTGTGAAAACAACTTTACTATCTATCTCAACACAAGGTTTAAAATTGGAATGTGTATGTGTAATATGTTTAGCACATAACTCATCAAACAGAAACTAACATCACGATTAAATTTCCTTAGCAACTCGGTCGTCCTCGTCGAGAATCTCCCTAGGACACCTTTAACTTTCCAAGACCACGCCCTCAGAACTTGAGGCCCCGCCCCCTCCGGGGGTTCTCCCGGCCTAGGCAGCCCACCCAACCCGACTATCCCCCTCAGTACCTGACCCATAGCGCACGTCATGAGAGTGCAGTCGGACATTGTGGCGCGTATTGAGTAGCTTCACCACAGAGCCGCAAGTAACGACAGCCATATCGGACGCTCCCACAGCGCTCCATAAACCACCCAACAACAGAAGCGATAAGACAGCCATCCTGGATTCGACAGCCCCTAATCATCCAAGAAAATTTGGCCCTTCCCCGGAACCGGAAGCTAAGGGCGGGAGAACGACGAGAAGGAAGTGAAGCCACCTTAACCTGAATCTTTATGGTTTCTTTGGCTAGAGCGGCTTAAGGAACACGCTGAACCAGGTGGCCTTCGGGCCCCCGCTTCCTCCTGGTTGCTCTAAGGCGGCTACTTCCCTTATGTACCCTCAGTCAGCGCTCGCACACTCGAGACGAAATCGCCGGACACGCAAGGGGAAAGGAGCGCCGGAGGTGACCCGCCCACTCCTAGTGACAGAGAGCCGGAAGTGACGTAGCACGTTTACGCAGTAGCGGCGACGGTGGTGGCGGCGGCGGCGTCGGCTGCGGAGGACCCTTGCGGTGGGTCCGGACTATCCTTTCCAGTCTCGGTTCGGCGACTCCATTTTCTTCCGTGGGAGCTAGGCGCAGCGGAGAAACAGCGGCCTTCAAACAGGTAAAGCTCAGCCTGGAGAGTGTTTCTGGCGTGCGCAGGTGGCGAGCCGGACTCCCGGGGCCTGGTCCCATAAGGAAGAGGCTTCGGGGTGCCCGCTGTGGGAAGAAGGGGGGCCCTGGCCTTTGCTGATCTGCCGGGGGAAGGGGACAGGAAAGCGTAGTGGCTGCTCAGCATGTCCAGGCCTTTCCCCACGCAGTACCACCCGGAACTGTGAACTGGGGTTGCCTGTTGAATCAACAGGCTTTCTGGGATCCCTTCTTCCCCATAGCTCTGGAATCTGGGCCACGCGAAAAATCTGGGACTAGAAGAGACCTAAGGGCTTCTTACATGACATCAGGTGATCGTATTAATTATCCCAGGCGTTTGGATCCTACCGGGCTATCGGTGTGGTTCAGCCATGAGGTCGGTGTACTGTGCTGAATGTTAGCTCTTCTCACATTGTTGAATAATTGAACTCCTCCCCCCGCCCCACCCGGATGGCTAAGCCCTTAACCCTTTCCAAAAGATGCGAGTTTGTTCCTGCGTAATTCAATTTCTCAAACACTTGCGACCTACCGTAAATATCAGAATGAGTAAATAAGAAATTTGTGTTCTTGTTTGATATCAGGTGCTCAATTTAAGTAAGTAAAGCAGTTTCCCTGTGTTACTGAAAGAATTGATGTCTATTTTCCTTTAGGAGTCAGGTTTCCTATAATATCTATATGGAAAGTCACTGTAATATCAAAAATAATAGGGTAATTTTTTTTTCGTTTTCTCCACACACCCCATTCCTGCTGATCCCCTTCTTCACAGTCCCCCCCGCCCTACTTTCATTTATGTTTCTGTGTATGTGTGCGGCTCAGTTAGTTAATTTAAGGTTACTTACAGGAACGTGGGTGAGGGGTTATTCAGAGAAGCCTAGGCTACAACCCTAAAGAAAATGTGCTCCTCCCCCAGCAACCATGAGTTGCTATAGATCCTTAGGACTGGTGGGATCCCATGAGCCCCTCCCCCCTAGCAACCGTTAACTGCCCATAAATTTTCAGGGAGGGGAGGGGCCTGAGCCCCCTCCCCAACAAAGGAGTATTATGCTACACTGCTTGGAAGGTGTCAAATTAATTGAGGGAGGAGTAGTTCCACTGTTGGACACTGAAATTGATACTTTGTAAGTCTTCAGTGTTTTAGCTATCAAACAATTATAATAGCAACATTTGAGAAGCTGACCCAGGCTGATCCAGCTCTCCCCTCATCCATGAATTGAGAGACCCTTTCCGTGCCTGGTGTCCCATCACTGCAAGCTTATTTTATTTGCTTGGCTTGTGTGGCTATTAGATTAGATTGACAAAGTGTTAATACTCTCCAAAAGAGCTTAATCTTACCAAGGGATTAATCACACCAGAAAGTGGTACAGTGCTGAAATTCAATCACATTTTATATTACCACTTCTGGGGGGCGGGGTTTCTTCATAGGAAAGCAATGTATATTATGGTGGAAACACTCTTGGAGGCAAATAAATTTGCTCTGGCTTCTATATTTGGGGGGGGCGGTGGGGAGGAGCATTGTTTTTGTTTTTTTGAGACGGGTTTTTCTTTATAGCCTTGGCTGTCCTGGAACTCTTTGTAGACCAGGCTGGACTCGAATCCAGAGACACTGCCTGCTTCAGCTTCCCAAGTGCTGGGATTAAAGGCGTAAGACACCCAACATCTGGCAGTATTTTTGTTCCTAACAAATGTCATCACCATCTGGTTTAAGTATGATCATTGGCTTCCTCAACATTATTTTCCAATGTCAGTCACCAAATCCTGTGTCACCAAAAACCTCTTTCCGTAGGCTTTCAAATTATGTTCCCGTATCTCTCAAAAGCCCCTCTAGCTATCATTTTTCTTGACATATAATCCAGACTGACCTAGGGACTCTTAGTCATTCTGTCCTCAGCCTCCCCAGTGCAAGGAGTACAAGCATGTGCTACTGGGCACAGCTTCATCATTCTAACTTGTTTGTTTTGGGGTGTGGGTTTGAGACAGAGTTTCTCTGTCTATGGAGATCTATAGACTAGACTGGCCTGGAACTCCCCTGCCTCTGCCTCCCTAATGATGGGACTAAGGGCATGCCCCACCACCTCCCGTCTAATTTTTTTTTTAATTCTTATAGTTTTCTGCCTATACCAGTCAACTTTCTTATCTTTCATTGAAGCTTTAGTCAATATCAATCTGGCTTCTCTTCTAACTGCTCGTGAAAATTGATAACTTCACTAATGGCTACAATGTTACCAAATCCAATGGATACTCTTCATTTTAGTAATCTCTGGAATAGTCAGTACAGTTACTCCTTGAAGCTTTGTCCCCTTAGTGGTTGCTAAATACTTTGCTCTTGAATTTTCTCTGTTGAGCTAGCTGCTCCTTTTCAGTAAAAAAACAAAAACAAAAAACTTCATTGCATTTTTATGTGGTTATTTTGTGTGCATGGTTGAGTGGCAGGTGCCTTTGCTGGCTGAGTTATCTCACTCACTGACCTTTTGGGAGAGGGTCTATTTTTATCAAAAAAAAATTGTTTATTGCCAGCATGGACTACCTTACCCCTCCTTAGGCATACTGGCAGTTAAAGCTAAAAATATAATCATAGTGATCAAACTGATGCTGAACTCAATCAGCAATGCACACTACAAGCTGTCAGTCCTCTTTCCTTAACTCTCAAGTAGCATCCACCACTGACCTGATGTGGTTTTGTCTGGTTGGTTTGTTTGTTCATTTGCTTTGTAGGTTTTTTGTTTATTTTTGTTTTGAGTCAGGGTCTTGTTGTGTAGTGTAAATGGCCCCTAACTCTTTGACCCTCTTATTTCAGCTTCCTGGATGCTTTAGCCTTCTTTACTACACACTTTGCTTCTCTCTCTAATGTCTAAATGTTGGTTTTCTCTGGGGGTTTAATCTTGAGTCCTTTACATATTCAGATCCCTTCTCTGTGCTCCTTGTTGTAAGCCACCATCATCTTTGCCTGGGCTATGGAGTAGTTCCCCAGTGTCCGGTTTCCACTCAAATTCCCCTTCAGTCTTTGAAGCCTTTAACTTACCTTATAAAGATCCTATATTTCTTCTTTTCTCTGGTCAAACTGACCTCTGTTGCTGCCACAATTTGTGCTACTCAGAAGGCTCTTCTCCAGTGTCTCCTACAACTAACCGCCCTGTAAGCAGTTAGTTCCTACCCTTTAGTCCTCAGTCTTTGGGCATTTTTAAATTTCTTTATTTATTTTTCAGAAAGGGTCTTGCTACTGCCAGCACTTCCCAACTGCCTATATTTTTTAATAAGATCTTAAATTAAAAATAAGATCTTAAAGACCTTAATTGGCTAGAGAATGAGAATGTGTGTGTTAATTGTTGTGTAGGTGTAAGCATGCCTGTATGTAGAGGCCTAAGGATAGTTTTGTGGAGTCAGTTCTTTTCTCCCACCTTACACAAGTTTTTGTATCTAACTCAGGGCATGGGCTTGCATGGCAAGTACTTTTGCCTGCTGAACCATCTAACCAGACCCCAGCATATATTTTAAAAATCTTAATATCTTGTAATTAGGTTTTTTTCATAAGCAGTTCTGAAACCAAGATGTTTGAAAATGTAGGTTGATTCTGGAACTTTTTTTTTTTGTATTCTAAATGGAATACAAAATCATCAATACTTTTGAAATGAGCCTAAGAGAGTTTAAATAGGCCTTTTAAACTTGTTTTACTCATATTACCTTTATCAAGAACCCCCCCCCAATTTATTTTATTTATTTGGAGGGGAGGTCAAGACAGGGTTTCTTTGTAGCTTTGGAGCCTGTCCTGGAACTCAATCTGTAGACCAGGCTGTCCTTGAACTCACAGAGATCCGATTGCCTCTGCCTTCCGAGTGCTGGGATTAAAATGTGTGCCACCACCGATCAGCATCCCTCCCTCTTTATTTTTAGTAGAACACATTTATTAAGGAGGAGTAAGCACTCCAGAGTAGGAAGGGCTGCAAATGAGTGGTACCCCAGACCATGCTCTTACCTCCTCACTCCAAGTCCCCTTTTCTGAAGTAGTCCATGACTTCTGTCATATTGTTCTCATCACTAACTACAGGATTTTGTTTCTGATTTCAGAGATTTAACCAAGAGCTTTGTGCATGATATCCAAATGTTCCCTCCACCACTAATTTATGAAAATTATTAACCCTACCAGGGAGGAAGTGTATTTTATTCAGTTTTTACCTACCAAGACCCAGAACAGAGCTTGACCCTAAAACAAACAAAATCTTAATGTTAGTTGAAGCTTCAGAACAGGAGGAGTTAACAGGCCTGATCTCTTCAGCCAGATCTCCTCCTAATTGCCTCCTATAAGTTCTTGTTAGAAAGGAGGGACTGCAGAGGGCCTCCCCTGTGGCCATCTGATCCCAGCTCTATTCCTCTTCCAGAGAATGTCATGGTAACCACCACCCTCTCCCTTTAAGTCACATTTTACACTGCAGCTGTGCTTCTGTCTGGAGAAACCTCCCTCCCTCCCTCCTCTTCAAGGCCTATTCCAGATGCAAATTTAACTACAGTCTTGAATGTGGGGGGAAATTTGTAGAATGTGAGTG